CATTAGATAGTTGTTACAGATAGCACCTAATTATACAATGATTTTCGAAAATAAAAAAATAGCACCAAAGTACCTTACAATGTTTGTTACTTAATTTTAATATCAAAAAACTTTTTTATAATTTTAATAAGTTTTATGCTACCATAAAACTATATTAAATAATATTTATTTAATTTTAATTGCTGTGATTATAACTATTACATTTTTTTTAAACATTTGTTACATAATCTTAGTGTTGCTTTTAGTATATTTAAAGAATTTAAGATATTTAGCAGTATAATTGTTCTATTTACCTACAGAAAAAGGTTAAATATTAAAAATTAAAAATATTAATTTGGTTTGATTAAATTACTAAGCAACAAACTATTACTACATTTATAAATTAGAATAATAATTTGAATAGCTGTTATTTTGATCTACACAGTAAGAACTACTAACTACATCTAGCGGTCTGTTATTTAAACTTTAAGTATTTAATTTTCTCTGTCGTGATCTTAATAGGGAATATGCGTGATTTTTTAATTTTCTTATAATACGATAGATAAAAAAAGTACTAAATACACAATCAGCGTCAAAAAATATCCTTGCCGAATGAGCGTTCATTTGAACACTTGAGCGCGCTTTAAATTTAGTAGCATCCGAACGCTCCGACGATAAACATGCCTCGGTTTTCGTTTAAAAATTGCAAAAATCACACATCTAGGACGCTACAATAGGATGGAGTTTTATATTTTCGGTAAGTATCAATATTGTCATTACATATTGTTTGTTATTTGTGTATTCCCTCTAGTTTCGAAAAAATGCTAAAACACGTATTTATTTAATTGAATTAAAGAGCATTAATACTAAGTTTCAAGTAATTCTGATCATAAATATTTTTTTGCTTTGTATTATAACATGTTTTCCCGTGAAAATGACTTAATCTCCCGCAGTAAAAAGAAGCCTATATGTATAATATGTATGATCACGGGCTTCCAGTCCTCCAACAATCTCCACACAAAAACAGGCTCATCTGTCTGTCTCGACGTGAAAGAAGGACAAACAAAGAAACATCAAACAAACAAACAAACAAACAAACAAACAAACAATCACACTCTGACATTTATAATACTAGTATGGATTAGGTATATATAAAATTTTCTTTTTTTCAAAAACAGTGATTCGAAAATTTCTTATAGGCGGATTGAATACGTCACTTCTTTGGCGCTGTGGCAGATACCGCAATTAAATTAAAACAAAAAAACAAAACATATAATAACTAGCGATGTGGGATGGAGGATACTAGCAATAAAACTACCACACCACAATCACTTTAACACGTTTATTAATTTATCAATAGTTTATTATGTCTTTGCAGTTTGCATTCTTCTTTCAAACTAAAACTTTCTCATGCAACATGGCCAGACACTGTCTGTCTCTTTCACTCATTCTTTAATATGTCTAATACGTGAAATATGGAATATTTCACGTATTAGACATAATAGCTTTTATTTAATTTATGCACATTCATCTACAGTAATAAATATTCATTTTTATGAGTAATAATTATTATAAAAATTATTAATAATAAATATATATTTTTATAAATAATAATTATTATAAAAATAAAAATTATTGATAATAAATTTGACTCTCACTTTCGCGACATACTTCTGCGACACTCATTTTTCCAATCTATTGCTTACAAAACTTACCCTCAGTCACGCCTAAAAAAGTTTTACTTCAATAGAATATTTGATAACGTAAGCGTCGTAAAGATCTTAATTTTTATTTTATTTGACATTTTACGTGTGGGGTTTTAAAATATATGAACCCACATAAATATTTATACATGTGTATTTTGTTTACGCCAATAAATTGAAAATTCTTTCGATAAACAATTGTCTATAGAGAATCTATTTTTTTTACTAAATAAATCATTAATTTTATTAATTCTTCACTTATTATTAAGTTCTTTTAGGTTCATATGAAATAATATACATTCGTAATTATACTAAGCAACCTACCTATACAAAAAAATAATCAAAAGATTCCAAATAAATTATTATTCTTAGTTTTTCCAACCTAAAATATAGATTTATATATTTTACTAGCATTGCCCGCGGCTCCGCCCGCGTTCAGATGACCAAAAACCAAATTCTTAGGTTTAACATATTAGTATACTCTTACACTGCAGTTTTTGTATTTTTCTCAGAAATTAAACATTTTCCCACGGTAAAAACTATCCTATATGTTGACCCGGATTACCATACCAAATTTCATCAAAATCCCTCCAGTGGTTCTTCTGTGATGCGGTAACAGGCAGACAGACAGACAAAAATTCTAAAAACTATAGATTTGGCCTCTATCGATAATAATGTCGATTTCAAAATATTTAATTTACACATTCGGCTTAGTTACAATTTTATTATATGTACCTACATATATATATATATATATATATATATATATATATATATATATATATATATATATATATATAGACACCTATAGATTACAAATTAAGATATATTTAATATCATTCATTCCATTTAAAAAACATATTTTTTTCATGGGTCGGACAGTCAGTCCGTGTATACATATACGAGTATTTGAAAAGTTATAAAGAAAAAATAAAGCATTAACTCCTTCTGACGAACTCGGATGACATAATAATGTCTAATAGAGAGTATTAAATTATAACTGAGGCCAAATGCATTTTATATTGGTCAAACATTTTCGAACAAAGAAGGAAGGATATGCCCCTTGGTCTTCTCTGAGAGCGTACTTATCATTATTTATTTCGTAGATTTATTTCATTTGATTTGCTTATTTGGTATATACTCGTACATTAACAATAATTGTAGATTTTATTTTACCTTGATGGTTTTTTTTCTAATGATTGGTTGGTTTGTCATATACCTACCTAAATATAAGGTTTTATTTAAATGAGGATTAAATAATGTTAGAAATATAGTTAATAAAACATGCTCCAGCTCCCTATCTGATTAAAACGTTATATTTTTGAATATTTTATGTACTTAGTTTAAATAAATAATAATACTAAACTAATTTATTGATGATGGTCATATATTTTTTTCAGATCTAGTGTCTCGAGATTTTAACTTTAATAGTTAGGTACAGTTGCAGTAAATTGATTTGAATCACTTTAAAAAAATAGGAGAATTTTTCATTTTATTTAAAACAACAAAATTTAGTTGCACTTACAAAGTCAATAATAGTTTTTTGCTAGAACTATTTAAACATAAAATTGAAAATATACTATTAAGTAAAGCAAAATCACAGCATCCCTCACAAAATATTTTGCAGATATAAATATGTGGTATTAATTCTAGTCCATTACGCAAGTAAATAAATTTATTGTAGTTATTGTAAAGAAATCTCTTAATTGAAAAAAGATCAACAATTGAGTATCCTGACTCTTCTCAGCAGGACTGTCGTTTTTTTATGGAATTACAATAATTCAGTTTAATTTAAGTGTAAAAATTGGTATTTAAAAAGCCTTTATACAAGCACTAACTTTTACATTATATGTAAGTGTAGAAATGAGGTACAATTTATATTTAAGTTTTCAAAGATTTTTTTCTTTTAAAATGTTCTAGATATATGCTAATACATTCAAAAATGTCATAAAATGTTACTTAAGCAATGTAGTATTTTTATATATTTACATGTTATAATACCTATATATAATTAAAATAATGATAGTTAAGGCAAATCTAAACTACTACAAAAAAACACTAGCATCTTTATATATGAAACCTATATAAAATGAACCTATATGAAATCTTTATAAATGAACGTCGAACGGCTACTGACAAAATACAAGGTAAATTGATACAAATTAATGGACCATTTATGAAATATTTTCTCTGAAAAGATAGGAGCTGAAGAATAGCCAAGTATTCAGTTATACCCAGTGATAATAAAAACAAGAGTAAAAATATTACCTCAAACAAAAAATTTAAAAATCTATAGAGCTCAAATGTACATGTTTTGCTATTTATGTGTACTTATTCTTATGTTAAAGTATAAATTATATATCAAAAATATGAAGCCTTAGGTGATTGTGAAGGTTTTCAAAAAAATAGATAAAGGCTTTTAAAAACATACCTAATTATTGAATAACTAATTTGTTTTATATCATTCAACATTTTAATAAGTGCCTTTGTCTCGTCCTTCTTTCATTTACTTTGGACTTTATAAATATTAAAATCTAAGTTAAACAATACAATTAAAACATCGAATCAAAGTTTAACTGACTTATCAAATAAATCAGATCAAAACCAATCCTAATAAAAATGTCAAGGAAAAACAGTCAAAAAGATTACCGACCACAAAAGACTCGTAGAAAGTGGAAAGCGATCCGCAAATTGCTATAAAAAGATCGTATCCAATAAAACTGAATCGGCATTGTCAGTGATGATTTGAGCGGGGGGTGGGCGGCGTGCGGGGGGCGCGGAAACACGGTTTGGGCGGGCGTTTTTTCCTAGAAAAAAGCGCTCCATTGCGAATAGATGACGATTGATTTGTTGAAATGGCTTGAGGTATTGAGCATTGCTGTTTAAATTGATATCGTTTTGTGGCGTGCTTACTTTACAGAAGTTTGGAACTGCCAAGTTAAGGACTATGCAAACACTGGCGCCTAAAACGTTCCTTGATTTTCCTTATTTTATTCATTTTCCGTTTTAAATATTTTTGATTATATTATATTAATTTGGTTGGTTTTTTTTAATAAATATCTTTGTCATATTAGATAACTATTTTAGAAATACATAAATATAGCTAAAAGTAAGTAGTTATCTCTTTTTTGATCATTTGATAATTAAGTATTTTTATTTAAGATGAACATTTTTTAATAATTCAGTGTTGAAATACGTTCAAAAATAAAGGAACATATTTATTTGAGACATTCTATCTATCCTGGCTATTTTAATGTTGTTTTTTATTATCTAAACTTTCCAGTTTAGGTTTTATTTCAAAAAAATGACAACTAACTTATGGTAAACTTACTTGGCGTGTATGTGAGGTCGGACAACAGCAAGCGTAGCGCCTTACCAGAACGCCCACTAAAATCCAGTAATCTACAGTTTTATCAACTTTTCGATATAAGTCGAACTATGCTGAAAAGTTATTCCGAAGTCCGGAAGATGAGCAACGGACGTCGCGTCAGTAGACCGACTGAGCGACGCGAGGTCGCTTCCCGCCGAGTGCGCCGCGCCGGTGGGCGGGTCTTAAAACCACGCGCCGCCTCGCCCCGCCCACTCGGAGACACGCCCACCTGAATTAATAAAGGCGGCAAACACCGCCGGACACGCGGACAATGCCGCATTGTCCTGTGTCCAAAATAGTTTCAATTAGAATCGAGGAGAAGACACAAAAGCCTCCGCCGGCAACTCATTCACAGCGAAATTGACCGTTGCATGGACGATTAGTAAAACCGACATGAAATTGAGTTTGGTCATTAGTGGTCTAAACGATCGGATTGTCTAATTTTCTCTTGTTGATGAAATAATCAATCATTTGCTTCGCTTACATCGTATTCACAGACAATCAGTAGCAGCAGTTATTCAAAATTGTAAATATAATTTGTGATGTAAAACCGACTCTATAAAAGTTCATGAAATAAATACTTCGAAATAAAACAGATCATACAACGGGGCATATTCATATGTAGGTATATTTACATATAAATAACTAAACCATTTATAGTCCTTTAGCATTTTCAACGTCTCATTTGCTGATTTGTTTGGTAACTTGATTTCCCAATGAAAAACGAAGAACATAACTCGTTTCACGCCAATGTCTATATATCTATCAGAAGCATTATATTTCCCAAAGAGAAAAACCGATTTTATTATCCTTTTTATATGTAATCGTATGCTGAATGATAATTTCTAAATTTTATATGATAAAAAAATCGGTTTAAAATTTAGGAGCTCTTTTCCAAATTGGTGTAAGATTTTCTATAGTTTATAATAGAATATATTTTATTATATTTTCAAGGTATAGCCTCGCATATGAGATGCCTTTTCGATATAGTAATCTAGATGTGATATTGCTGCCACGATCGAAAACTGGCTGTTTTTCTTTTGGTCACGAAGATATTTGTTCCATTGTAGTGAATGAGAGGTTTTCAAGGAAGGTTACATGCAACAGCAATGTGCACCCACTTGGACCACGAAACGCTTATGATTTAAAATCATCTATTAAGAAAAATGTTTGATAACAGAAGAAAATACCAGTAAGAACGAGAATAATCTGTAAAAACAAAAGGACGCATTACAACGTTTTTATCAAACTGTAACAGCGTTTCCATTACTTTGTTTCGTTTTTTTTTTATAAAAAACGACCTATTCAGTTCACTTGTTATAATAGATTTTAAGTAGAGTTTATGGTTCCATTCGAAAAAACATCTCGTCGTAAATTTCAGCTTCTTAGTTTTACCCAACAAATAGATACACGAATTCTTCTATGATGAAAAATTTTGAAAGCTTATTAGGATATTAGACTCAGTATCTAGTTTAACAAACTAATAGACTTAAACAGTCTGTGCTTTAAAGCAACTTTTTCCAATAGTCCAATATCCCGAAAACGCCTTAATACGTCGGAAAATTCACAGAAAATGACATCATTATTCGGCTAATAAACTGTCTCTATGTAATACATCCTGTCCATCTCTTACTCGATTGCATCGATGAAGGAGAACAAAGAAACTATTTTTATTTGAAATTAGTATTTTTTTTACCAAGTACCTATGCTATCTTTTATATGAACACACCTTCGCTTCACTCGGGTGCGTTCCTAGGTGCCTAACAGTAGTCAATTTGTTACCCCAGGTCAAGCCATGTTTTGTAGTGTCTAAATTACATATAAATAAGTGCAGCCGTTTCAGCATGAAGAAATAATAAGCACACACACACTCTTACAAACTTTCGCATTTATAATTAATAAGATTATTCAGATATAGTTTTGTCTCTTAGGAAATTTATTAGCAATAGAAGATATTTTTATGTTATTTTTTAGTAAGTTATGGCTGTAGAGTAACATTATTTATATAATGATAAATATATCATATTGTAGTCATAATTTCAAATAAAACCATAGCTGCGTAAGAACATAATTAAATTCAGTTGCACAGTTGACATGGTATCTACAGTCCAGTGAAACAGGATAATCTTCGTCTCGCAATCCGATGATTTTATTTAACTCCTTTCACGGATCACAGCTCACTTGTTCTGATTCAGGCTACCAAATCCGTTTGCTTTGCTAGCCGGGAAGGATTCTGTCTGAGTAAATAGCCAGATTCAAATATATTCGACTGAGTACAAACAATAGTTTGAAGAAGTACTACTAAAACCGGACATTGTAAAATACTACAAAGAATATTGTTTTAGAAGTAAACTTTTAATAATTATTACACATATTTTCTTGCACCTCACTTATTTGTTAATAAATCCAAATAATTAATAATTAACTTACATATTTTTACACTTATAAACACTTATTATTAATCTTTAATGAAATAGAGATAGAAGACAATTAGTATTATCTATACATATAATAAAATTCTGAGTCAAATCTGTACATTAAATATTTTCTGGAAAATCTTATTGAAATAGACATTAATATCGATACAGAGGCCGAATCTATAGTTTTTAGAATTTTTGTCTGTCTGTCTGTCTGTTACCGCATCACAGAAAAACTACTGGACGGATTTTGATGAAATTTGGTATGGTCATAACTGATTATCCAGGTCAACATATATTTTGACAGCGAAAAAACATCTCATTTCTGAGAAAAAATACAAAAACTGTAATGTAAGAGTATACTAATATGTAAAACCAAAGAATTCGGTTTTTGGTCTTTTGAACGCGGGCGGAGCCGCGGGCAATCCTAGTCTTATAATATTACTTGTACTCGTAGGTACTATGTAAATATACATATGTAGGTATTTAAATTTATTTCGAATATCTCGGAAACGGCTCTAACGATATGGATTTTTTTATTTAAATAAGCTTTTGCTTTTTAAGTTTCTCTATCTATATGTAGGTATCTTATTTTAAATATCGCCGAGTGAAGCTCGTTCGTCCAGGTAGGTACTGTATTAGCACAGATCATATAATACTATACTAGAATGGATATATTAATTTAATATTAATTTAAATATATGTATACACATTTTCTTTGAAAATAAATAAAATATTACATTAAGTATTTTTTATTTTGTATAGTATTTAATTTAATATTCTTTATTAGTATTTTATTTGTGTTTTTTTAATGTTACTTGGTACCTATCATATCTTAACTTTTTACATTGAAACATTTAAACATTAAAATAAAATTGTACCTAGTATATTTTTCTTTTTTAAAATAACAGTTTATTATTGAGATAACGTGGTTATTTATAAGAAACAAACCCTGACCGCCATTAATAAAAAAACCGTTTCCCTGTTTGTACATGCCAATTCTGCATCGGCGGAACAGATTTTGACGAGATTTTCGATAAGGAGAGACGAGAGCTCGGATGAGAATGAAAATGACTATTTTTATAGTCGTAATACGTGAATTGATTAAAGCTTAAAGATTGTATTATTAACATAAATTAAATTTTATTCAATATAAATCTATTTTTCATAATAGATTTATTGCTGATTCATCATTTTATTATTTATCAATCAATCGGTTATCTTGTTAAAAAGATAGGGGTGAAATAGAAAATCTAAATATCGTTATTTTCAGCTCCACTGAACATAAATTCGATGACTTATCGGGACGCAAACACCGTTGTCGAAGACAATCGTCGCTCGGTCACGTGATTCAATATTTATTTTATCAATATTCAACCGCTTTCCAACTGTTTGCTCACATTTTAAAGGATAACGGCGGTGGAAAAGAGGTGACTTCGTTTTCATTTTAACTTATCGTTTTGTTAAGTAGACAAATTACTTCATATACTATACATATATACATACTTAAAATATTTATCAATATATCTCAAAGGATTCCGGTGCCTCGGCCTAATTTATAAATACCTTGAAAGACAAGGCTGAGATCTGTCTCTGGGTAACCATAGCAAATTGTACAAAGATGGTCACTGTTACATTCTAACACCATCCTATAAAAACGAGTGGCGAAAAAACTCAACTAGACTAAATCTTTTTAAGTAAGTTCAATAATTTTTACAACGGTGGTTAAATAAAAAAATAATACTTACCTATACATAGGCGTGCTTTTATGCAAAACATTGATGTAGATATATTAATATTATACTATATAATATTTAAAACTATTTGAGATAAAAAATAAAATATCGAACATTAATTCATTAGTTGAGATCATTGTAATTAGTTTAACGAATAATAATAATATTATATAGAAGGTGTGACATTCTTTATATGTCATAAAATGATTTCAAAAGTTTCTTTGCAAAATTTAACTCCTGACTGCTGCCCGACACGTTAACGAGGCGTTAAACAGTGTTTTTCCTGGCATCTGAAGTGCATGCTAATCGACTCAATTGATATTCTGCCGATCAACTCATCGATCTGCATTAACTTTTTAGTTTAATCTTACGAATAGGATATCAATTTTCAATAAATAACAAAGTGTAATTTCCTGGTGGTAATAATTACGAAGAAGACAAATTTAAATTCTATAAGCTAAACTGCTTTATTATTTCTTTACGTCTGAAATATCTTCAAAACATAAAATTTCCAAAAACTATGCTTAATAATAATAAATAATAATAATGAAACAAGGTATAACTTTGACCTGTTATGAACTATGAACAAATAAGACATATTTTATAATCGTTTTAACTATAAAGCAAAGACAAAACAGCTTAGTATGTTTTTCTCGTCTGTTTGTCAATCAATTTTCTTTTTTAGGGTTCCGTATCCCAAAAGGAAAAAAGGAACCCTTATAGGATCACTTCGTTGTCCGTCTGTATGTCAAGACATTTTTTTTCTCAGGAATGCTTGGAGGTTCCAAGCTGAAATTAATATCAAATACTCAGGTCTGCAAACTTTGGGGCTATGAAAAAATAAAACTTCTAAATCAACGCAATTAAAAGATACGGCCATTTATTATTATGATACTCGCAAAGGAATTAAAATGTTTCTTGCAACAGAACCCTCGGTGCGCGACTCAGACTCGCACTTCCCCGATTTTTTATTTAGTAGCTACTAGCTATTGACTAGCTTTTAGTCTTAGCAATAAAAAAATTGGATAAAACTATTTTTTATAGTTAAATTCTATTCATATATTGTATGTATGTTTT